TCCTACCTCCCTCCCTCTTTCCCCTCCCTCTCTCCCCTTCTCTTCCTCCTCTCCCTTCTCCTCCTCTCTTCTCTCTCTCTCTCCTCTCTCTCTTCTCTCTCTCTCTCTCTCTCTCTCTCTCGTCTCGTCATCTCTCTCTTCTTCTCTTCTCTCTCTCTCCTCTCACGGTCCCTCGCCTCGAGAGACCTCGCCTCTGCTAACGGCAGCCGCCCTCACCTCGACTTCCCTCCTTACCCTACTCCCGCACCTGCGCTCATCCCGAAGTCTCTCTTACCAACCTCCTGAGCTCTCACCTCTTTCTGTTCTCGTCTCTCCGCAATCCTCTCCTGCTGCGTTTCTCTCTCTGCTCGTCTCTCTCGCTGCATTGTTCCTCTCTCCTGTCTCTCTCTCTCTCTCTCTCTCTCTGCATCTCTCTCTTCTCTTCTCGCTCTCTCGCTGTTTCTCTCTGCGGCTCTCCGCTTTCTCTCTCTCTCTCTCACTCTCTGCTCTCATTCCCCCCCCTGGTGAAGGCATGCTCTGCACTCGGATCCCAGCGTGACTCATCAAGCTCGCAGATACACGCTCACCTTCTCCATCTTCTCTCTCTCTCGGCGGCACTTTCTCTTTCACTCTCTTCGTGGTTTTTCTTCCCTTTTCTCTGCTCATCGCTTCTCTCTCTTTCTCTCTCTCTCTCCCTTTCTCTCTCGCTCTCCCTCTCTCGCTCACTTATTCACTTACACATTCCGAGTTGTTTTGTGGTACACGTTACTCTTGGCTGCTGCATGAGGGCAGTATCTCTCTTTTGTGAGTAATGCAGCACCAAGGTTTGCCATTCCAACAAATCACTATCACGGTTCATCAGTGTAGCTTATACGTGCATGGACTCACGTGTTCACTTGCATTCACAGGTTTATGCCACCCCCAGGAGAGGATAAGAAAGCGTTTTACGTTCTTGAGCAGGTTGAGCCAATTGTTGTTTTAGAATATCTGTTATCGCATTGGTATAAATAATTTATTACCAATGCCGTTACCGCTGCAGCTATGAGCACCGCATGAACTGCATCGCTGTCTCGCTATGTAATATTCTTCTCAACTGTTCTTCAAATCGTCGTGACTAAACACCAACTGTCATATTAGGTGTTTCTCATGTGTAACTCCTAACAGATACCTACTACTTTTACCACACGGAATGAAAGACGTGTAGAAATTTTAAAGATGGATGTTTTCGTGTTTGTTGAGAAGCACTTTCTACAGACGACAGCACGTAGTGGCATAAATCTAGCTGAAGGTGTAAAATAGATCGAGTAGGTCCTGTCTGAGTATGTGTCAAGTCACACAGTATGTACTTGTTTTGGGTAGTTAAACGGTTTTGGAACGCCATTGAATGCTGTGAACACAAATAGAGCATTAAAGGTTACCTATCATGTGAAAGTTATAGGTTAGCTAGTACTACTGCTCCAGATGCATGCTTCTGCATAGGGTAGCGAGTAAGAACGCCTGTCTTCATCTGTTTGCTATGTTGCATGCTGAGTGTGTTTGCTGTGTTTCTGCACGTGTATTCTCTCCTCTTCGCAGGTTCGTGGATTATCCCGCTGACAAGGAATATGTGATTTTTGGATATCACATGGATCAGGTTCCTATGCTTAATTTTTCTTTTACTTATCATACATCTCAGATTTCCAACAGTTAATCAGCTATATTTGCCTTAACACTGACGTGCAGGAGCACCTCCTGCCCCCCCCCACCCCAATACTCCGCAATAGCAACGGCAGAAATGAGTGAATTTGGCTCACACGAAATGAATTAAGACCCAGGTTTTGCCGAACCTAACATTAGAAGTCCATTACTACTGAGTGCACAAAATATTTATATGTAGGCACAGTAGTATTAGCAAAGATATTTCATGTAGTGAGTGGGCGTCACTATGAGACACATAATAAGTGTAGAGACAGCCATCTGTTTGCTTAGCAAAAGATAAAACACTATTAAACTATCAGGCTAAATTTATGTATAAAATCATCATAATAAGTATTTGAGTAGTTTGAGTAGTTTGATTTTAATTTCAATTTATTTTAGAACATGTAAATTTTAGCAGTAACATCTCTGTGAATGGGTTAGTAAATATTTCCCTTTTTTCATTTATTCTCTACTTCAGTACACTGTTCTAGTGCTGAAATTGAAACTGCTTCTCTCTCAGCTATTATCGGACTATCGATCACTTCGTTAAACAAATGTATGTCATGTATGAATGAATATATGTTATTTCGCGTAGTAGCTCCTTTCAATGTGCATCTCATAAATGTAGTTTAGTACCTTTCTTACGTGTTACCTCTCTGTCGCTCACTACATCTGAATTCTGATACCCGATAGAAAGTGCAGAGATATGTACTGGGTTTGATAGTTGTCTCTTTCTTACTGTTAACTGCATCTTGGATAGAATTCTGTGTATGTGGCCCAATGTTATACAAATTATATGATTTATCATTAAAATTAAACATATAAAAATGCTATGGTAATGCCTAATTTAACAGAGAACTAATGCTAAAAGCTGTAGTTTTGGTTACACATTAAAGCTAAATAGAGAGCCCAAGAATCAGCCTAATTTAAGGGTAATCGATTACACTTGAAAATCTATTTCTATGCCCATCATATACATTGACCAATTAGTAGTTAGTAATGTTCTAAAACAGAATATTGTGATTAAATGAATTAACTTTTTCTCGTGTTTGTCTTAACAACTGCCAGTGTCACACATTGTTGCTATAGTGTTCACTTGGTTTGCTTACAGTGTGACCCTGCAGGCTGTCTCATTGAGCTCTGCATACAGCTCGGAATCATCATGGTTGGCAAGCAGTTCCTTAACAACTTTATGGAGTTAGGTCTTCCGTAAGTATTTTCCAGCAGTGTTGGTGTGAAATTACTGTGAAGGTGTGGTGTCTGAATGAAGGTGAATCTGCACTGTTAATTGGAAGTAATAGTACGTCGCACTATCATACACGGGGTTTTAGACAATGATGGTGCAAGGGTCTCTCTATCGGTCAAACAAGGCAAATTTTATTAGTTTTTAAGGATAAAATTTGAAAGGGCCCTATACATTAGCTTGTCGTATTATTATTAGCTCGTCATATTCATGTGAGCAAAATTGACGAGGAGATGGATCTATGAATTGCATTTGCCTATTGCACTAGACAAGTGACTATATATAGTAGGTTTAAGGATAACTTCGAATCCTCTCCACCAAATCTCTAATGCTTCTCAGCTGGTGTATTACTCACACTAACGTGATTCTACCCCCACTCCATATTCTGGGGCCTGTTATCAGAAACAACATTTGTCTGAACATTACTTATAACATCAACTTTTTCCAATATACCTGACCTCTATGCACTACGTATGAGAAACTCGTAACTTTACCGTGTTTCTGTCAATTGTGTGTTATAAAGTTCATGTTAAGACTAATTTTAAGACTAATTTAGTTTCTGAAAATGGGCCACTGGCTGTTGCCATAGGTTCCTAGCAATTATCATTCAGAAGAAAAATGCTGCACTTATAAACTGTGTATGCTTAAGACTGTTATAGTTCTTGCTCCCATCATTGCTGCTCATGCTATAGGTTCCTAATGAATTTCATCCGGAAGAAGAAGAGTAACATAAGCAATGAGAGCACAAAGGAGCAGCAAGCGAGTACGCGCTGGGAACAGGACTATGTGCTCGCAGCCACGCCGCCCCTCGGCCTGTTTGATGAATACCTCGAAATGGGTGAGTAGAGGGTGCTGAGAATTCAAGCTTTTCAATTCATTCTTGCCCCTAGGCTAGAGTTTCTCAAACTTTAAACACTAACTTTATAGGTTTTTAACCCAAAATACCATTTTTTTCCTGGCATAGTAACCTAAAATGCTGTTATAGATAATTTCAATAATATAATGATAAATAATTATATAACCAAGCTAAGTAAATAAAATGTGTTGTGTGAAAAGAGAAACTTTAAATAAATAATTCGTATAAATCCATAGCACAGAAACAACAAGATAAAATGATGTTGACAATATCATAATTATTCTATCAATTTTATTAAATTGGTATTATTATAATTATAAATTTTTTCAATTAACTTCCCACAACTCTCGGGAATGTCTTTGTAACCCAGGATTTGGCAACCACTGACTTGGGAATTATCATTTGCTTTCAGTGATCCAGTTTGGTTTTGTGACGTTGTTCGTCGCAGCGTTTCCTCTCGCGCCTCTGTTCGCCCTTCTCAACAATGTCATAGAGATACGGCTGGACGCGTTCAAGTACGTAACGCAACTAAGACGTCCTCTAGCTGCCAGGGCGCAGGACATTGGAGCGTGGTATAACATTCTGAAGGCGCTGTCCATACTGTCAGTCATATCAAATGTAAGTTTTGCACTCCCTAACAATATGAGCATATCTGTATACATTCCTATGTATCAACGTATCTATATATAATGTAGAGTTCGTGCTAACACACGTGGCCTACTTTGCCTGCATATGTTCAAGGATGTGCTCAGCTGAATATGTGCTGTTTGTTCTAATCTTCTCACAGATATATTCATGCGTGCACACCCACGCAGGCATGCAATTGCAAGTGTAGGCAGTGAATGTAACCATAAATTTATCTACTGTTTGTGAGCTTACCCTGAATTTGCAATGAATGTGTAAACTAGTAGCGTGAGTCTGTGTTGCTCAACTACTCAGATATTGCTTCTGAAATCAATTAAGGAATTTTTGGTAATTTATTGAGTGTGCACTTCATTATTTGTAATCATTGCAGGCCTTCGTAATTGCGTACACATCAGATTTCATACCCAGACTGGTGTACCTGTACGCTTACAGCGGCGATGAGAAAAAGTCTGTCGCAGGTTATATCAATGGCAGCCTGTCCTACTTTGATGTGAAAGACTTTTTACCTACGGTTGCACCCGACCCAAACCTAGAAGCAAACAAGGAGCTAAATGGCACGGAAATCTGCAGGTAGACTCAGAACGAAACTAGATTTGTTATATAGAAGGGATGCTTTTGTATTTGATTCCGCACACACAATTGATACCGTGGTGAGCCATCAAACATTTTTCACTGCTAAAACCAGAAGCTAAAAACACTGATAAACAGTGCTAACAATGGAACAAAATTCAGTGAAACATAATGCATGCATTCCAGTATAACAGTGCAAACGACATATTTGTATTTATGCATTCAATGGTATTAGGAATGATACTGATCACGATCTTATGCTTAAGTCGTATGGAGTATTACATCTAGTTGCATGACTTGCACATCGACTCGGGGGTTCATTCATCGTTGATTGCAGGTATCGAGGGTACAATTATCCCCCAGGCCACCCAAAACAGTACCATTCTACCATCCAGCATTGGCACATAGTAGCTGCCAGATTTATCTTCGTGGTTGTGTTCGAGGTGAGTTACTAGAAAGTTTTGATGAACCTTGTAGTTCTGATAGTAGCGGTGACTATCAACAGCAGTAACAACAACATGAAGAATAGCAGTAATGGCAGTGTTACTAGTACTATAAGCAGTGGCAGTGGCAAGAGCAACACTAGCAGCAGTAGCAGCAGCAGCAGCAGTAGCCGTCTTTACGACCAAAAATGTTTTGAAATGGCTAAATCTTCAGTCATGGTATTCAATATAACAGGTCATAGCAGAAAAGTACAGCCTAGATTTAATCGAGGTTCATGTATCAGAATCAGACATTATCTGCAAAGGATGTACCTTTTTGTTTCAGCAGTAAACCGTTATTTTTTATTACTTAATTCGAACTTTTGCCCAATTTATAAGCATCGCTGTCTTGTCCTGTTTCGTTATGAATCAACAACAACAACAACAACAACAACAACAATGGCAGCTGGACTAGCTCTTACTTACAATTCTCCTTCTTTCGTTTTGTTGTTAGAGTAACGGCTCTCTTTTGTTCCTCAGCACGTCGTGTTCTTCCTAACCAGCACCATCGCCGTCTTCATCCCAGATGAACCAGGCAGCGTACGAGATCAGATCCTGCGTGAAAAGTTCCTTGCTAAGGAAGCTCTCTACGCCGCTGAATTACAGAAGACTAAGACAAAACGAGAAGACGATGACGAGGAAACTGCCAGTGCGAAGGAGTTGGAAGGAGGGGGCGGTGGGGCAGGAGCCGAAGGGCTGAGATACCGGCCGGGAACGTAGTAAAACATTAATTTCGTTAGGTGGCCGAATGAATCTAGGAGATGTTTCGATGGGTCCGGGGAAATCTGGGTGAAATGGGAGTGGTGCTTTGGCATCTTCCCAGTTGGCGAGAGCTTCCGAAGCCACGTGAAATAATAAGATATTCTGGTACATGAACTTCGTTAAGTGTAAGAAGAAACTTGTTATGAAGCTTAATCAGTGACGTGAATTATGGGACATAGTTTACTGTGTTAGTGTATCTCTCTGTGTTAGTGCCCTTTTAATGTGTGTGTGTCTGAAACATGGGGACATCCTACAAAATTTGTGCCAGGAGATGGTTTAGTTTTTCTAGACTAAATATAATTGGCTGCAATAACAGTATGATAGTTAACTCCAGTTTCCAAGAAATTGTAATTGTACAACAATAGCTAATGTTTAGGTGTTAAGTTAAAATATCCTACAAAGACATCTATAATGGTTTTTAGGGAAAATGTAGAAATCCTTTTCATTTAAAGTACGAAACTCATTTATATTGGCTTTGCTTTTATTTAAATTGGTAAGATCATACCAGGAGTGAATAATACACGCCTTATGATACCCTATCTCATCAGGGCAGTCATACGGCCAAAATCTGCCCACTTGATCTAAATATCATGATCAGATATCAGTTTTTCTGATTACATCTGGCATGACACGTTGTGTTTATCAAATTATGCTGTTATTTTTTTAACCAGCATTTGCTCTTGAATTGTTTATCACTTCAGTGATATTATTTTCTGTTTGAACTGGTCTTCAATGCCATGTTGGGACGTAGAATATGTATAGGCTCACCATTATTTATACATTCATATATAACAGTATTTATATGTGCTGTATTTTCTTCGCCAACGTGCCATAAGGGGCTTGGTGTTATGCATATCTTCATTCGATTTCTATGGGATTTGCCAAGTCGAACGTATATGTACATAATACAGACCTGTGTCGTTTTGGTTTCACATCACTGTATTTCATCATGATAGTTTTAAATGACGTGTGTGTGTGTGATGATACGAGTATGTATATTATAATCTCAAACCTAAAGATTGATAGAATCTCTATGAATATATCAGTAGTGCGTATAACAACTTGTTATTGTGCAATGTGCACTATATTGTTTACACGCTAGATTTCATTAAAGTGTGCACCAGTATTTATTTGTGTATGCTGCAGTGATCCTCATGATATATCATTATTTCCTTTAATTTAGTTATTAATCCATGGAATAATAATAATAATCATAGTAATACACTTGCCAACTGATCTCCGTTAATATTAACAAAGTACACGCTTGGATACGTTCACTAGGAATAACTGCAAGTTTAATTAAATCGATTATAAAAGATTGAACCAGATTCATTTCGTTTCAAATTATGACGTATTAGCGAAAAGGCATGTTTATGTAGTCTTTGTGTATTGTTAGGCTGCATGTATCTGAGATTTTTGCTCTTATGCACGAGGAATCTCACGACATGATCATTTTCTGACCATTCACGAACTGTTTGTGTGGATATATTTTTTAATTTGTTTTATAACATAGCATATATTGTAAACGACTGTCTGTCTGATCCAAGCAAGGCAGATACTAATTATGTATACCATTTTACCATTTCAATAGATTTGGTAATGTTTTCCTACTGCTCTATATGTACTCTGTGAATATATATGTTCTGAAAATATTTTCTTCATAATAACAGTCTGTGCTGCGTTTTGTGGATCTTAAATTTGTTCCTTTAGCAACTAAATCTTAACCCAGCTCGTAACTCAATATGAATGATAATATAGACAAATAGTACTCTTCCAAGGACATGGGACCACAAAGTAAAACAGCCAGTGGAAACGTGCATTTCAGTATTCACTCCGGGTCAGACTGATTCTTTTTAGTGGTACATAAAATACCATCACTAACATCTACTTCTCTTGCGTCTCTCATTCGTGTTTTCTCCCACTCTGGCGTTGGGCATATTTCAAAGCTGTTCCGGCAAAGCAGGTGCCAATACGTACAAGATAGAAATCCAATAGATCGGTGGCCTTATGAGCATAAAAAATGGTAGTGTGTTAATCCTATGTACCATTAACCATGTTCGCACTATAAATTTTGTTATGGTAAAATAAACTTTATTCCGTGTTTTATTTGACATAACAACGCTGTCTAGTGTGCCTATTCTTGCTACCACGAGCGTCAATTCGTAGTGGGCTGCAGAGAGGGGTCGTATCGGATGTCAAGGGCCGTAGCTAGAACAAAGGAGTCATATACACCCCACCTCCATGCATAAATAGATACTATTGCATGGTCATTGGTCAACTACCCAAAACACAGTGTGCGTGGATTTGCCCCCATGCAAAATGAGTTCGCTACGCCACTGCATGATATCACCCGCCACTATTTTATTCATCTGGTCAGGAGTGAATAAAAACAACTTTATTTACTCTTGATCTGGTTTATACTCACTGCACATTGCACTCGTTATATGATAAAGAACACCCGAGAATGCACGGCTCGATGTCTAGTGTCGTACGTATAAGATATCGTGGTGAAGGGCATGCTATTGACCTTCGCTTATCTGCCAATTAAAATAAATACAATAGAGCGCTACCTTTGCACAGGTATCAAGACCGTGTTTGCGCCGGTTATAATAGCCGATACTATTTTTCAGAGATGGGCGCATCGACGCTTGCTACGTGGAACAAGATAAACCCTGTTTAGTTGAAATACTCTCGAATACCTCTCAACGTTACCAACACACCATGAAGAAAGTCAAGAAACTAGAAAATAAAGAAGTCTGCCTTATTTACATCTATATAATACTCCTAATCCACACGTCAAACTAATTTAGCTCGCTCGTTTACACCTACTCGTATTTTGTCATATTCAATATGATATTAACTAGTAGATCAAATACTATAGTGTCACTAGTACAATATGTAACTAGTTCTGTAGAGCTCTAGCATGACACAATCTTGAGGAAGGGCACACTGTGTGGGCAAGAAGGCACGCGACACGAAGTTATCGCTACGGAAATGTGTTTGTATTTACCATATGAAACGAAACGACTTGCTATTATAGGTACAAACGTCTTGATTATCCACCGACAGGCTAAGATGCAACTTCTGTATCCGCTCTAGTCATTACCCTAGATACAATGTATGTACACATTTACATACAGCCACATACAAGAGCTGTTTGTCATATACTATTTTTCAACAATAATAATGGCACCTTAGCTAAATATATATAATCACTGTTGTTCATCAGGATTTCCTGATTTGACAACAATAAAAATCAAAGACAATATTTTCCTACTTTCTAATCTCGTGACCTTTTGCTAGTTTACTGATTTCTATAATAACACAATTGATTTCAATTTGGCTAATATTACGCAATCAAGTTGGTGCCCTTTACTACAACACTATTATTATTTGTCGCATAACATATACAATTCTTTTCCCTCTCATTTCAAGCCTGGAAAGCAGTTTACAACATAGGCACTGCATTTTACCATTTCCCTGATTACCTATCGAGCACCAGACGCACACTCAGTCCAATACATGGAATATTCCTCTCCATCTAGTGAATCCTATGTTTATTTCAGGATAGGTTTAGTGACCGCACTTGTAAGTTCCGGCCTTGTGGACTACCAAACTAGCAAACATGCACTGGTATCAAAATATTCACATACCCTGCCTGTATAATATCTTTTTAACTACTCATTCGCTTCAAAGTAATGCTCTAATATGTAATCCATTTCTGCTGGCGCTAGTAACAACATCTGAGATGTTAAAATAGTTTTACACAGCAAACATAAAGCACAATAAAACTACTGCAGCATATGGCTTCCACAGAATCATTAAAAGTGGCAATTGATGAAAAGAGTAAATCTCTTAGATTAGATACCGGCAATCACAAACAAAAAGAGAAAAGGAAGCAGAAGAGAAACCAGTTTAAATACAAATTCACATCCATGTTATAATTATCGCTATCTATAAAGATTAAACATTGTGTAATTTTATCTTGGCATCGCCATCGGTATATATGTTGCCTGATCACCCATCATGTCAGTTTTTTGTACAAACACAACGCTCGTCCCTTCTCTCATTGTCGGCGCATAAGTCACTGCCACTCCGTCTCGACTGGTGACATATGCAATAGTAGTACCCTGATCTTGTTGTTGTGTATATGCCATGGGAGCAGCCTCTCTCTGAGGGATATACACGATGGCATCACCCTCATTCTGAGGCGCATATGTGACAGAGACAGTCTGTGAGTTAGGTGTGTATACATTTGTGCTTCCTGCCATGGCAGCTACCGGGTTCACTTCCTGTTGTTTTTGAGTAGCGGACGAAGAGGCTTTCGTTTTGGCCTTGCTCCGAGAGGTGGCGGCCCCTGGTAGCTGCTCAGACACCATGCAGTCCAGAAACAACTTTTCATTTTGTATGTAATACTTGAAGAATAACCATCGCATTGTGTTTCCTCGCTCTTCCAGTGGCGTAGACTGGTCAAAACCGAGGTCCAAGTGGAGACGATACAGATATTTTTTATAGTTTACATCTAGAACAACACAATAGAACATACTGTGAAAAAGCTATTTCATTTTAAAAGATAAAGTATGATCATCTGCTAATTATGTGCGTGTGTGCGTGCGTATCATGCAACATTAAAGCAATGTCTGCCTCAAGATGAGTCTGTTGTCCAAAATTCAGAAACTAAAGTTAACAATAATGCATAAACAATGACCACTGAAAAGGCACAAATTGTTATGTTAACGCATTACTTTTCTAGGAAATATAACTTTAAAATAATGGAAGCAGAACTGTAATCAATGTTTCATGGATTTTTGGTAATGTATAACAGAATTTGTCGGAATTTTTAGGAAGTCATGCAGAATTCCACCGATATCGAATATGGGAGTCCAAAATTTACATGGGGATAATCGACTTTATACTTTTACTTAATCATTCATGCTAATTCTGACCCCCTGATGCATATTTACCTTCTGTCATCCACAGTGACTTGAAGAACTGCCTCGCAGTGTCGACTTGTTGCTTGTTGAGGTCTGATGCAGAGACCAACACTTGACACCGAGTCTTGTTCCTATGGGCCATGAACTTGCCAGAGTCTACCAGTGCGGCACAGAGCCGTGAGAAACTCTGACTGTCAGTGTCAGTCTAGGAGTGAAATATTTGCCATCTTAATTTACTTGTTATTTTACACTTTTGTGCATAAGTCAATGCCATTGGTTTTTATGTAAAATTATTCACAGTAGGCATAAATTATAAATTACATAAACTTGGTCATAAGAGCAACTATGTACGTGGAAACGGCTAGTAATGGACACCATTAAACTCTAACCTCGATTAATTGCTTGCACTGCTGCACCGCAAAAATTTGTCTGTATATAATACATGCATCAAAGCACTGTATTGCTTACCTTGAACTGTCTAGCGAAGAAGTCAAGGTCATCTATCACAAGCACCGCTGGACTAACAGGAGATTTGTGTATGCTAGCTAGGTGCTGTATAAGATCCACTGCAGACGACATGTACCTACGACATAAGAACGATTATTCCATAATAGTGCATTTTAGGCATTTACAAAACTTGGCATGAAGCGAGTATCAACTGTAGTGTGGCTGAGACCTTATAGTGCAAATGAACTTGAATAACTCATCATCTTATCTCTCTTAACTGTAATTTTTACACTTTCCTTCACACATTAATGCAGGGCGCGAAACTAGCACCGACCCACTGGCATATGCTGGCAAATTATTTGGAGGGCCGGTAACATTGACAAAACACTGGCCCTCCGAGCCGGTGGTTTCAGCCCGTGTTAGTGAGTACCTACATTTTTATTTATAGTATTAATGAGCAAATAGCCTACATTACTGTTTTACCTGAAGGATATCACGCCATAATTTATCAACATTTTACAAATTTGAAATCGAGAATGCAAGCGTGAAACATGACATTGAATTTATAAACAAAATTTATGAAGGCTGGTAAATTATGGCGAGGGCTGGTGAGAAATTGCTGTTACCAGCCCTCTTGGCTGCTGCAAAAAAATTTGAATTTCGTGCCCTGCAATGGACACTTATTTTATCATGCTTCTGTGCCTAAAATGCGCTGTGGGTACATCCTTCAAACCCGAGACTGCACACACGATAGGTGATCATGAGAGAGTGAGGGTGCTCTAATTGAGGGAGCCGGTGTAGCGTGAGCGATTACATCCCCATTCCCCATTATATTATGCATCCCGGGTGCAGAATATAATACACACGCCCGTGACACCATGCTACCTATGATATGACGCTAATATGTATCTTCCAACCCTAACCCTAATCCTAATCACAACAACAACAAATCACAGTACAGTACAGTGATCCAAAAACGGGATGCAGAAAATCATTATTCTGTTTCAAGAATGGTTGTTGGTTGTTGTTTGTTGGTACGTTTGGGTAGCACTATATAATGGGTAGCACTATATAATATGACACCGGGAGTTTCATGACAAGTCTACTCAGACGATGGCTTACACAAATAAACTAGAACCAGCGTATAGACACTTAGATGAACCTACATGATCTTGACTAGCTTAAGCAGCTCATGCTGTGGGGCAGGCATGCCATGAACAGGGAAGGGCATTGTCGCTAGCTTCTCCTTGCAGATGAAGAGTATATTCTGTCCGTGAGAAGCACATGTGACTGCATACTGGAACAGCAGCGACGTCTTTCCACTGCAAATGAAAATTGTATCACGTGTCAATTTCACCTAGAATTCTCACCAGGTTTATGCAAAAGTGACAAATTTGAAGACAATAGAAATTTTCGGGTTTACTTTAATTGAATTGCAGCGATTGGTAAATATGAATAGGCAAACCAACTAGAAAAAGTCACTTTATTGAACCAGACATGAAGTGCTTCATCCTCAAATTTTATTTTGTTAGTTGTTAACCAGAGTTGTTAATGATCTAGCAACCAGGCCTCTCCATTCATATTTTTCTCCCTCTGACTACGCCTGCTGTGCCTCCTCCCCACCCTACTTTTCCTCCTTTTTGTTACCTCACTTCCTACTTCCACCCTCCTTTACGTTCTCTATGCCTATTACTCACATCCTACTTCACTCTCCTCCCTCTTTTCCACTCACAATTTCGAAAAGCCACTTGTATTTTCATTTGAGTGATAATTTCAAACTTCGACTGAAATGCCCACATAAATTACATTTGTAAAAAGGCCAAAACCAGGTCCCTTGCCTTTAAAACCTTGGTCCTTCCTATTCTAGAAAGAAGCCCTAGATAGGTCACACAAAAAACTACAAGTACAAGTTCTGAAAACGTTCTCACCAATCTTGGCTGGCCCTCTCTACAAGATTTATAACTGCCACGTCAAAACTGTTATCATATATCTCGCTTGATAAAATCATCTTGGTGTGCTCACTGGCAGTTCCAACAAATCAGTAAAAATAAAAAATAATGTATAATAAATCTTATTGCACCACTGCATATAATAACTCTCCTATCTGCGATAAACAACTCCTCACTGCAAAAGAAAAGCCTAACGTCGGCGCGAGTGCAGGGATTATGTATGGGGAGTATGCAGGGTGTTGCTATCCCCCGGGCGTGGAGGGACGGTCACGTGATACAGTTGACGTACACTTCAAAACTTAACAGTAACCATAACCCTAACTCCAACACTAACCCTAACACTAAATATCTATATATCGGATATCTATATATAGGGGTGTCATCCACAAAAATTAATCTATGATGTGGGGACAGATATCATGATGCAAAAACCCTAACCCTAACCCTAACCCTGATCCTAACCCTAATCCTAACACTAGTGCTGCCACGTCGCGGTAATGTCCCTCCACGCCCGGGGGATAGCATTTCCCGAGTACGCAGCATTGTGCAGAGAGTCAGCATTCGCGCCGACTTTAGGCTTTTCTTTTGCGCAGGGGTGTGAACAGCTAGCAATATTTTTGGCGGGTACTCAAATATTTCAATGAAAGTGGCCGAAGGCCACTGTATGTTGGCCGCAGGCCAACATGCCGTAGCCTTACCAAAAGGAGGCCGAAGGCCTTCTTTTGGTAAGAAGCGTAGGCCGGGGGAGTTCGAGGGGGTGTCCCCCTCGAACCTTAGAGATTTTTAAAGAATTCATATCCAAAAGATGCAAATCTGGGGCATCTTGACACCTATGACATGAGTAAGATCAGTACATAAGTATGGAGACAGATTTTAAAAGCATTGTATTCAGAACACAAAAATTAGTTGTTTCAAAATCACAGGCACAGTAGCTAATACACACTCGCGGGGGCGCGCACACACCACACACACGTCACACGCGCGCGCGCACGCACGCACGCACGCACGCACGCACGCACGCACGCACGCACGCACACACACACACGCACGCAGGCACACCGGCACACACAGGCACGTACGCACGCGCGCAGGCACGCCCGCAGGCACGCACGCACGCGCGCAGGCACACACGCAAGCATGTGCACAGGCACACACGTATATACGCGCGGGCGGCGGCGCGCGCTTGATTGAATGCAATACAGTGCAGTACACACATGCATGCTTAATGGTAAACACTTGACAGTCACACCATACCATCAAGAGTACATAATAACACCATGGTGTTATTATGTACTCTTGGTACCATGAATTCTACCGCGCCGTGGAACCGGCTGCCGCTAGCGGCTGAGGCCGAGCGAGAGCGGCAAGGGGCGGGACCGGCGGGTTGACAACGGACTTGGCGGGTATCTGCCTCACCCCCCTAAAATTTCTCAACGAATCTACACGAATTGGAATACCCATCAAATTAGAATATAAATCGGCGGATTTCCGCCATTTGGCGGGACATTCACACCCCTGTTTGCAGTGAGGAGTTAGTTGTTTACCACAGATAGGAGAGTTATTAGTGGTGCAATAAGATTTATTATACATTATTGTTATTTTTACTGATTTGTTGGAACTGCCAGTGGGTGTGCTCAGTCATCTGCCTCGGACCATTAATTGTTTCTGAAAAGGACCTGTGGCTGTAGTGTAGACTGTACTGTAGTCTGTACTCTGTCTGTAGGCCGACTGTAGTCTGTACGGCAGTGTAGCAGGGGCTTTCAAAATTAATCTAAAAATTGACCACACAAAAACGGAACAGTCGTTCTTTATGTCACCTTTTTTCCTCTCCATAAATCATACCGGTGCCATCAACGCCAGTCTTTAATGGGATCTGTTCGATAGCAGTTGCCCATGCTGAATGCAAAGGAAAGATTTTGTTTATTACGTCCATCACAAACACCTAAATGTTGTACAGCAGAAAATCCTATCGCAAGGTGGCGGTATATACGAAGAACAACAGGAAGCGAGATAGACTTACATAGACTGGTACTGGTCTCTACACACTGTTAATAGTGTCTACGTTCAGAGCGAGAGATGATAACCGTCTATGCTACTACTCGGAAACAAGTGTGCATCGTATTCATTTTCCATCGTTGATAGTTGATTGATTTTTTTTACAATTTGTAGGATTGTTGGGATTTCATGCGTGGTAGACATTGACACGTAATTGAAAATAGCATTCCGGTGATAACTTAATTAGTTAATTACCCACCCAGCACAAGAGTAGTTCTCTGGTGAAGTTCTACCCCGACATCAAGCAATGGATTGTCAGTCTGGCGACGGCGTCGGTGCTGCTGGGCACGCTGCAATATCTCAGATATTATCTGGTGGACTGGGTAGGCCTTTATGTTAATGATTTATTGGTTACCCCCAAGCGATCGATAACCGATTCGCGCGATTGCGGATTGGCAATTGATGCATTATTCATTTTATTTATATTTATATTGTTATATAATCCGATTTAATCGTTTGCATGTAGTATTGATTGTATTGTTCAAATTCAAATTCAAATTCAAATTCAAATTCAAAATAAATTCATATTTTCATATTCATATTCAATAATAATTCATATTTGTAAATTGTAGTGTTGGAGATCAGTCCACAGTTCGGTACCACAAGGAAGGATAGAGAGCATGGCGAGATTGAGAACTATGTAGCGTAACTCATCGGCTCTGCTCTCACAACCGTGCTCTCTATCCTTGAGCCCAAATTTCATGATCGATCATCGGTTTTACAAAACGACCGATGATTGAATCATCGATCATTTTAGATTTTGGCGACGACGCGGTGACGCCGCGTCATCGTCGACACAACCGGTGTATTGCGAAGGAATATTGCAGGGCTGCCAACCTTGAGTAAGAGTTTTGCGTGAGACATTGCGAGGGAGCGGAGCGACCGAGGGGGGAGGGTATGGGAAGGTGGTATCCCCCCTCCCATGGCAGGTAACCCGACCAGGCTGTGTGACTAACGTCAATACACCGTGTATGACCAACCGGTCATACTACTGTATGACTAACGTCATATTCTAACCCTAGCAATACCGTTTCCTGGAGCTAATGGCAGGGAGCTTTTGCAATTTTACATTTGAAATGGTGCAATCTGGTGCATACTTTAGTCATGATTTCAACACATACATAGAAGCAGCATTAATGTACTAAATTGAATTGAAAAAGTAATAAATAGATTACATTGTTATTAATGCTGCATGTAGTTCACTGCATGAACATGAAAATTGCAAAGTTCCGTTGTAACTGCGTATTCCACTCAATGTCTTATTAGCTCTGACTTTTAGTCGTGAAGATCTGGCTGGTCTCGGCCGTCGAGGGATGTGTGGTTTGGCTATGCGTGCAGCTAGTTCCGCTAAGCTTAAGTCGGTCACACAGTCGTACACTGTACGTCGTCAGTACAGCAGTATAAACAAGTCGTAATCCATAGTCCGTCTTTGCGGCTCGGCATACGATTTTCATTGGTTAAGCTTTGCGCGCGTGCGCGCCTGCGGAAAATCTGCGGACTTGGGATTTGCTATGATATCGAATGTTCGGGAATTCGAATATCAGAGATTTTCGGAGTTATATTTTTTTTTCTTTTTATTTTCGGGGGTCCACGCGTGAGTAACTTCTATTTAATGTTGAAATGCCGCTGATACTTGGCTTATTGTATGTGTGTAGTATTTAATGGTGTACGGTTAAATTAGGTACTGTTACTGTTGGTTGTACGGACGGGTTAACACTCTAAAGGGCATTGCAACATAATGTTTCAATCTATTTTAATCAAACTCATATCGTTTACATAAGAGAATGTCTCTCTATGCTATGCTGAAAGGTTTTTTATGTTTAATAAATTATTGCTAATTAAGTGCCGGCAAAATTTGTGAATTTATTACAAAACTGCTTTATTTGTTATGTTCTCAGAACAGCAGGAGTTGCGGACCTAACTTTTACCATAGAGTTTCGTTATATTATGAACAAAAAAGTTCCCTGGAATTTTTTTTAAATTGCTTTTTAGGAAATAATGTGGAAGATATGTACGGAAATTTAGGAGTTAGGCTTTTTCAGGCACAAAGTGCGGCCCAATAGTTCCTTGAAATTTACACGCACGCGTTTAATAGTATATGGTTGTAAATGTATGTACTTGTGTCAAATCTGCGAAAACAAAAGTTTCAGTTGTACTCGTTCGTCGTTTTCTTACTCGCTCTAATCGAATCGGCGTCACGAGTATTGATCGACCAAACTCGATTATGGAAACCGCCCTATGTGATTGTATTGTGTCGGGGTATTTGCTGCCAGCGACTGTGCGCATGTTGCGTTCGCTATGTTGCCCGCCGTCGTGTTAATGCTTGCACTCAATGTTACGCATTCGGATAATAATGATGAGTGCCCTGATGTAGATTACAACTGTCGTTTCACCGTATATTCTATATTCCCTAACGACACGTACAAATCATACGGCTAAATTAAGATTGCGTCGATACACACTAAAACTGTACAGCGAGGGGTGAAGACAGAGAGCCGACTATTGATGCCGTTGCCGGGCACGCAGTTGGCTGCGTCGTCAGACTCAATTGTTGCATGACGAACAGGATTCGAAACACACAAAGGATACACTATACGATCGCACGAGGGTCAAGAGAATGAGTAAGGACAACGCAAGAGGGCTAGAAGATGAGAAGAGCAGAAGGGAGTGTAAGAATGAGCAGGAGATGCAAGAAGAGTAAGGACGAGCCAGAGATTGTGGACATTCGTGTGATGCAGGTTTCGCCATACGCGCAAATGTATGGAATGATAGGCGACGTATATGCTCAGCTGCAAATAGACGAGTATGAGCCAGAACATCCAATTGTACGACGTGCTTATGAAGACGTGAGGCACGGCACAGAAAAACGCGCTTCACTATTGGGGCAGCAAAAGATTGCTACCTATTCTTCAGCGTGCACGGACCGGACGCGAGCGATCGCTCGCCGTGCAAGCAAGCTTTACATATTACGGAGGCCGGAGGCAGCTACACGCGGGAAGACAGATACTGATGCCGATGACAGCGGACAGATTAGCAGATATCCGCGGACAAGACAACAATGATGCGGAGATGGTCGATGGCGTGATTGAAATCAAAATTCTTGTGTTGTCGAGGCATAAATGAGATTGCCGTATTAACTAGTTTTGAAAGGTACGAGCGTTTTAGCTTGCCGAATGTTTTAAAGCACTTTTCGTCTACATACTACCACCACTTTCCCCTCCCCCCTTCAACATCCTCATTATTTTATTCGGTTTAGCCATGCGCTGATCTTACCTATGTAAACGTGGCATGTGTTAGACGTGAAGTGATTAAACCTTTACTGGACGCGTCGGTAAAGGGTCTTGATTTAGGGTACGGTTTTCTGAAATGCGTTAGAATGCCCGAATTCCGAGATAACGCATATGTCGTAAGGGTACGTCGAGGCTGCTACGTTGAGCCAATATGTTATGCAGAGCTGGATTACGCTCTCGGATCCTGAGGTAGGCCCACGAACGAGATCGTGGGACGAGAGCGAGAGTAATTGAGGCTTAGGCCACAGGGTAGATTTCGGCCGTTAGCAGAATACGATTATCTGGGGGCGGGAATCGCGGGTTTAGGTGTCACGTATAGTTGACGTCGGAGGATGACAGTAGGGATGTACCTCTAGAGCCAGAACTTCACGCCGCACCCAACATACTTCTTCCTGATTCGTAACTCCTATTGTGTATGACCAGAAGTGCATATCTATAATGTCTCGGAGTCCACCTGCGAGTACGCAACCATTTTGCGATGTTAGATTGTTTCCGCCTACGACGTGTTATTTTTCTTGTTCTTGTCAGTATTTATTGCTGTATTTTTTGGTTCGTGAAAGTGTATGTAGAATTTTGTCATCGGTTTTTGATTTGTCGTAACTGGTACGTTTAACATATTGTCCGACGTGTAAACACATTCTTCATGTGAGGTTTGATATAGGCTAAGACAGTTTAATCGAATATTAATCAGTGGTTTGCGTTTTTTTGGTGGCTGTATGATGTGTATTGATGTATAATGTATGTTGGAAGTGACAAGTAGGTTGTCAGCGCCCAATCGGTTACTGTAATGATGGTTTAATGTTTACATGGATTCTGGTACAATCAGTGCTGTGCCGCATCACACTCGAAAACAGCAATAATCCGTGCTGGGTTTCTAGTAATGTACATATTCGTAATTGATCGATTTCATATGACTACATATTGCGTATTGATACGATACTTATAATGATTACAACTTTCTATGATTACGAAATGTTATACGCTATTCCGTCAATGCGAAGTACGCGCCATACTGTATTGTATTGGGCCTATTATCGTTCGCATAAAGACGCAAAGTGAAGTTATTGCAGCGATATCATGTTTACTGCAATGTGTTGAAGTTCTGCTGCTGTTATGGTGATCGTAACTTTTTATCGTTATTATTTGTGGTATGATATATAGTTGCGGGTTAATTCGCAGCTACGTAGAGCGCCGATCTGCCTTCCTGTTTTGCCTTTTGTTTACGTCTTTTTACTGTTAGTGTCAAATATTGCTTATCTATTGTCAGATATTGCTTATCTATGTGTCGAGATCTTGCTTATCTATTTGTAAGATTAGTGCTTATCTAGGCCAGTAGTTGCTGTTATCTATTGTCAAATCAGTTGTTATCTATTGTCAAGATATTGCTTATCTAAAATACTGTCAATCAGGTATTATTATTTATTTTCTTATTGTCTGTAACATTTCTGCAGTTTTATGTGTATCTCTTGTGTTTGCACTGCCGTTATTTTTTGGGCGTTCTTCGGATTTGTATCCTTATCGGTCGGTGCCGTATTTTCATGGCGTTACCATCGATTTGCCGTCACCTCACGTTAAATTTTCCATTTTTTGAAGCGTTATGGTTGACGCGTAACTTTTTTGTGTTTGGGGTATTGCGTCTTATTGTTGTTACTGCACGATGTTATAATCTTATGATTTTTTATTAGCTTCCGTGCTTTTCTCATGTTTTTAAGGTCATCTTTGTTTTCGAATATTACTGTTCTACAGTTCAAGCGGAATTTCTTATTCCTAATCCTGCTAATGGACTAATTTCTACCCTCCTATGCTACCTCTTCAATGGGTGTATGCGGGGGGGGGTCGTGGGGTCGTTTTACGACCCCCCAAAATTTTAAGGTCCATTTTTTCCAAAGACAGTTTTTTTTCGAGGGCCTTTTTACAATGACATAAATGAAAATACGTACCAGCAATGGTCTAAATACATTGCAAGTTGCCGTGACTGGCGTAATCTATTCCATTCGCATTGGCTGAAACTGAGCCTTTTTTTTTTTAACAAA